ACACTACTGTTCGACCGTCGTTGTCGACGATGTCCACCGCGTGCTCCAATGAAATGTGAAGCAGACACGGTGACTTGCGCGCGAATTAGTTCATAGTGAATGTGGGCTTGCACAGCATCTACCGCACTCCCTCCTTCACACTCCCCACCTGGGGCTGGTGTCAAGACAGAGTCAAGAAGACCGGAAGTAGGGGGAGGACGCAGTTGGCTGGCACGGCCAGACACGCACTTTGGTGTGCCAGCACACTCCCTGGTCCACAACACACTACTGACCAAGATATTTCACCAATAACAACCACACCCCAACAGGAGTCAGAAGTACGAAGATGATGACTGGGCAGCCATGCCCACCATCTGTATACCCAGCGGGAGTGCAAGCGCATCTACCGGCAGGGAACCAGGTGCCAGGGAACTGCCAGTGCACACCAAGCTGCGAGGGCCATGGTTTGCTGATACTGGCATGGCACCCGCATACGGACCTACTGACTTGGCAGGGCGACACGCGGTTCTGCATTTATCCTGGGCCGTCACCCTTCAAGTTTGGGTAACCAAACAGTCGTCGACTGAGAGGCACAACCCATAAGGTACACACACTTTCCCCACTTACATGAGAGCGTCACAACTCGCTTGAGAAGGGGTCGTGACAGCCTGTCTCTCAGACCACCGGTCCGTCACAACTAGGCAGACTGCGTGAACTGAGTTGGGACGTCAGTCGGTTGCCTTCCAAGCCACGGAGCTCGACGCTTTGTCTTCGTCTCAGACTCCGTTCACACATGCAGCAGGGGAGCCGCATTGAGACGGAGCCGAGACGCACACTCCCACTCGCGTCGGAGGTGGCAGTAGCGTGCGTCTTGCGTTGGGTGATGTCGGTGTTCGGTGAGATGCCGGTGAGGGAGGATGAGATGAAATGCCATCGGCGGTTGTCTACAGTGGGTTTTCGTGGACGCGCATTTGGCCTAATAGACCCATGCAGTGCATGAATGTGCGTGTGCAATGTGGACAGTGGGGGCGGTGAGCGAGTTTGCGGAGGCAGTGAGGGCGACCGAGCCGGATACGGCGAGTGTAGGTTGGTGCTCCAGGCATTGGTTCGCCAGTCTGCGTGCAATGGATTCGCAAGTGGCCGACCAGGCCGATGCGTGGGGCGAAAGTGCGGGGACTGTGTGGACATGAGAAGTCGGCGGTATCAGTATCAGCTCCGGGGATGGTGATGGTGGAGCTGATGGCGGTGGGCGCGATGGGCGGCGGAGTGTGAGCGGGACTAGGCATGGTGGATGTACTGGAATGTGCCGAAACTGCGGCCAATTCCGCTCTCGTGGATACGCCTGTGGACGAAAAGGGCCATGCGGCGCATAAATGCGCGAGGGCAGTGTGGACGGTGGTGGTGAATGCGGAGGATGTAGGTTGGAGCTCCAGGCACTGGTTCGCCAGTCCCTGTGAGATGGATTCGCAAGTGGCCGACCGGGCCGATGTGTGGGGCGAAGGTGCGATCGCAAAGAGGACAGATATAGACCAGGTCTTAATCATTGGAGTCGATAGTGGTGATGTTGGTGTTTGCTGGAATGTTATGATTGTGTGTAATGTTGATGTGCGTGGCAGACGTCGAGTCAGTGGGGAGGAGGAGGATGGCAGTGGTGGTTCGCGAGGACGGTCAGAGTTAGTTGACGGCGTAAGAGGCGAGGGAGAGGTGGACGGAGAAACGACTGTTAGTGCAATCCGAGTGCTGCAGTTGGTCCGAAGGTGTCCGACAAGTCCAATTGACACCCGGAATGCCCGTTGACATCACGGATGCGTTGGAGGCGGTTGGGCGCTGGCGCTGTAAGGCGGCGGCTGCAGTTGAGATTCGCGTGTCTCGCGTTTGGCTTTGGCGACGGTGATGCGGTTGGCTTCGAAGATCGCTGTGCCTGTTTTCACTGTTCTCCACGTAGGTGTGTTCCAAGCGAGGTCTTCCCAGTTTGCGGGGTTGATCTGCAGGCGCCTCAGAGAGGTTTGCAGAGTATCCTTATGGAGCCTTGTGGACCTCGTCGGTGTGAACCCGTCGCGACATCTTCATAGAAAAGGCGCTTGGGTAGCCTCTCATCATCCATCCATACGAGGAAGTCGCTTCAGAGTAGTTGTAGTTGTCTCAGCATAGCTTGTATGCTGAGGATTCCCGTCCGCTCCAGCACGTCCACGTCTGGGATTCGGTCCTGACACCTCAGCTTCAGTATTAGACGAAGACATCTGAGATAGGAGTGGTCGAGTCTGGTCGGGGGAGATGCTGCGCAAGTCTTCCTCGATAAAAAACATTAACACTTAAGCCACAGGTACTACGCCCACCACGGTCGAACTGTTGGATGTCAGAATAATACTGCTGACAAAGATATGGGAGACTGGGATGGCCGCTTCTGGTTTATTAGCCGTCCTCAACCAGTCATATCCAACCCCGATTTGTGGACCACCTCCGGCTCGATCCCGTGGCCTCTTACTTAGAAGTCCACGCCTCTAAATACTGAGCCACGGGCTCGTTGTCTTGTCGCTTGCGATCGGGAATATACAATGGAAGGACGGCTAATAAGCCAGAAATCGCCATTCCAGTCTGAGTCGTCGTTGTCGGTAATGTTACTCCGCCTATAGTACGCGCCGCTGTGCGGCTGCTGGTTGGGCTCGAGAGAGAGAGCCCCAAGGCACAACGTGATGAGTGAGTTCCGTAGCACGATCGGACGTTAGTTGCCGCGCTTGAACAGAGGCTAATTGTCTCCCAATGGAGCGCCCCAGGATTGCAAAGGGATGTTAAATAACTATTTCACCCCCAGCCATACTCGCAACGCGAGCAAGCAGGCAGCAATGCATTGGGTGCAGTTGACCCCACAACTGGAAACCCCGGCGTGCCATATCCATTCCGATAACAGCTCTTCGTCGGGGAGAAAGGCTGCCCCTCCCCCGTATGACGGCGCCTAAGAAGTCTGGAGACTCAGTCAACCAAGAATCCCTTTTTAATGGGATTTAAGGAACTCCTTCGGAGGCGCATACTTTGCTTGCCTTAACGCGACCAAAAAACACAGTCAGTAACTCTATACAGTCCTAACTCTTGCCAACTGTCCGTCATCTTATCATTTGACACAAGGGGAGCTGACTTGGTGAGTGTGTTACTTTCTATAGTTATGCACTCACGCAATGCACCGCTCGTATGCGAAGCTGTCTTCGATAAAAAATCATGTACGGAGTATCCCCCCCTCCCCTTTTGAATGAGCATAAGAGCTAGTAGCAAATCCATGGCAGAGAGTTCAATCGGAGACCGTCTGGAGTGCATTTCAAAAAGATCCCGATCTACAGAGACGGTCAACAAGCTATCAGTTTCAAACAGGAGATATGACTTATTTCTGTTTAGGTTCTCGAAGTCAGATTACGATGTGATGAGACCGACCAGTCGAACAGAATACCCGGTTGTTCAGTTCAGGGGAGGAAAAAAGCCTCTGCCTGGCAGCCGATTGAGAACATGAAAAGGGGTCCAAGTAGTTGATGCGTACCCTCATCGTTTGCATTCAGAGCACATAGCCAAAAAACAACAGGATGAAGAAACATTGCCAAACGCCCAGTACTGAACTGTATACGCACTCTTCGTGTACGGAGACGGAAAACAACACAAAATATTTTAATGGGTGTTGGTACAAAATATACGTCTTATCTTCTATTTCCAATTGAAATGTGACTCTGAACTTGACGAAATTTTTATGTAACAGTTCGGGCCATGGCGGTATATCCTTTTCCAGCACACTTCTCAAATGGTAGAGGGACGCTCACCGATCGTTCTTACGGAACTCACTTGTCTCGCTGTGCCTTACGGGCTCTCAGTCGAGCCCAACCAGCAGCCACACAGCAGCGCATGATACAGGCAGAATGCTATTACCGACAAAGAAAAAGGACACTGGAATGACCGGCTTATATGCCGGTTATACCATTCTACCTATATCATTCGCCACCATGCGGCTGTTGGTTGAGCTCGAGAGAGAGAGCTCGTAAGGCACAACGGAACGAGTGAATTCCGTAAGAATGATTGGTGAGCGTCCCTCCACCACTGTATATTACCGATCGCAACATACGGCATTAGAGGCGTTGGTTAGAGGCGTTGGACTTCTAACTAACAGATCGCGGGTTCAAGTCCCAGGTGGTCCACACTTCGGAGTTGGGTAGAACTGGCTGACGACGGCTGATAATCCAGAAATGACCCCTCCAGTCTCCCTTGTTTTTGTAGGCAATACCATTCTGCCCATATCACGCGCCGCTGTGCGGCCTGTCCTTTGCTACAGTTGATTTAGAGTAAGACTGACTTATGTGGACGTCTAAACAGGACATGCTAACAGGAATCCCTTGCAACACGGGTAACTTGAAGCCAACTTCTCGTGAAAATTAAGGTTAGATTTAAAGTAAAGGTTTAAAACTAGACTTAAAGTTAACGGTAATGCAAGTCAGAATCAAGTTTAATGTTAAGGTTGGGGTTAGTGTCCACTGTAGAGTTAAGGTTTAGGGTAAGGTTAGGGTCAAGATAGGGGCAACCGCCTGCAATACGGATGGCTCAAAGACAACTTCCAGTTAAGGTGAGGATTAGGTTTAAGGCTAGTGCTCACTGTATGGTTAATATTCAGGGCTGGTTGGAGTAAAGATTAAAGCAACGGTTTTCGTTTTATATTAGAGTTACTGCTGGGGTTAGGACAAGGGAATATTTGCCCTTTTCGGAATTATGCGTAGACCTACCCTTTATTACTTGGGCTAGGCGTTCCTATTCCCATCCACCTTTCGGGTGTCCACATAAGATAGTCCCGTCCGAATTGGCTTCAAAGTACTTATTACTTTGTTTCCACTTCACGTACTACATGATTATGCCGCGGGATAATCAATATTGCAACCCCGCCTAAGTATTCCTTCCTAACCGAAAACGCCTTTCAGAATTTTGGCCAACATTTCATGAGATCGGTCACTCACTGTATGTAAGAGCGGAATTCACCGCAGTCCACACGCCTTGCATAGCTTGCACATCCACCATGCCTAGCTCAACCCCCACCCCATTTCCCAGCGCGCCACCACTACCACCACCACCACCACCACCACCAAGACCGATTATGACACTCCCGACCTATCCTGCCAGTACTGTCCCCGTACCTCATTCACCTGGTCGGTCACTTGAGAATCTATAGCACACAGACTGGCGAAACAGTGCTTGGAGCACCAACCTTCAGTCTTTGCATCCGTTGCTTCAGCTGCCGTCACTGCCCCCCCCCCACACAGTCAACCATCACATGGGCCTATTAGGTCGCATGCGCATCCAGAAAACCTGCGGTAGACAACCGCCGGCTATACCACACCATCACACCTTCCCCCCACCAGCAACTGCACCACACACCAATATCACCCATTGGAAGCAAAAGATTACCACTTTTCACGCAAGTGGGAAGTGCGCTTCTCGGCTCCCTCTCCATGTGGCTCTTCTGCTGCATTTGCGATCCGAGCCTGGCACTATCACGGTGCTTCAAGCATCGAAGGTTGCCGACTGACGTCCCAACTTGGTCCACACTGTCAGCCCAGTTCTGTGGGTTTGTGTGGAGTGGCAGACTGGTGGGCTGAGAGCCAGGCTACCACAGCTCCTGTCGGTAGATGCGCTTGCGCTCCCGCCGGGTATAGAGGTCGTGAGCATGGCTGTCCAGTCATCCTCGTCATCTTTCTGACCCGTTATTGTTCTGTTGGTTAAAATCCTGGTGAAGTTTTTGTTGTGAACCATGGGGTGTGGTGCTACGCCGAATTGCTAGTTCGACCGTGCCAGCCACCCGCCTCCGGTCTTCTGGACTGTGTCTTAACACCGGGTCCAGGTGGGAAGGAGGCAAGAGTGCGGTAGATGCGTCGAAAATCTGCTCTCACTATAAACCAATTAATGCGCCAGTCACTGTACCTGCCTCAACTCGCTCCGGAGCACACGGCGGACATCGCCGGTTGCGACGGTTTAATTGCAATAAATGCTGTGCGCGCGTGTACGTTGGTCAGAAGTTTAGATTCAAATTGTGTGGGGCTGACTCATAACAGGACATCAGAACAAGAACCGCCTGCAGTACGAGTGGCTTTTAGCCAACTTCCAGCGAAGTTTCCGTCAGGGTTACAGCTAAAGTTAGCGTTAAGTTAAAGATTAGGTTGAGAACTAGATTTAAACGTAAGGTTATAGTAAGTCAGCATTGATGTTAAGGCAGGACCTAGTGTTAACTGTAGAATTGAGGTCTAGGGTAAGATAAGGGTAAAGGTTGAAGCAACAGTTCAGTTTCATATTAGGGTTATTGTTAGGGTTAGGGCACGGGAATATTTTTGCCTTTCTGGAATTATGCGCAGGTTTATTACTTGGGCTAGGCGTTCCTATTCCCATGCCCCGTTTGGGTGTCCACATAAGTTAGTCCCGCCTGACTTGGTCCCAAAGTACTTATCACTTTGTTCCCACTTCACGTACCAGGCTTCTGTGAGGGTGGCTCGGATGTCACTTCGGTGAGTGTCACAAATGAGACATTAAGGAGGACCTATTGCGGTCTGTACTGAGAAGGAGATAGTTGTCCCGTCTGTTGACAGCCTTCCAAACCATGACTATTAGCGAGTCGGGATAGATTCAAGCGCGTCAGGGGTCGGATCTTATTTCCCAATCCCTGACCTTGGCCCCTAAGCCTGATGCCTAACCCCAACCCCTAACAAGTACAGCTACAAAATAAGGTTTTGCAGCGTCAGTGAGTGACCGATCTCCCTCATCGTTTGACTACAAAAAGGCTCACTTGTTGGTACATTGCCTCTGGTGGTGGGCCCGAAAGCTAAGGCTGAAGTGACTGACCGATCCCATAAAATGTTGTCTGAAATTCTGAAAAGCGTTTTCGATTAGAAAGGATTACGTGGCGCTGTTGTAATAGTAATTATCTTTCGGCATAATCTTATAACATTTCGGACTCGGCAGGATGTCAGCTTTTGAATACACTGCTTATCAATCGCCTGTAGAAAGCGTGCAGGGTAAAAAATGACTACTTGATTAGCAGACATTTTCCCATTGATTTTCGATGGTCTTGCAGATTCAAATATATCTTATAGAAACCATAAACAAAACTAGGCTTTCTTTCAAGCAATTAATAGATAATCACGTCTTTTTTGTATATTATACTCAAGGAAGGTTATAATTAGGTTTTTAAAGTTCCTCATTATGAGACTTTTTAAGACTGCGTAATGTTCATTTACATAGCATCGTACCTGGCCGTTTACCACAGCTCCTAATGAAATGTACGACATAGCCCGCACCCATTGCCAAATTTTATGGACTCTGTATGACATCTTTTTAATAGCATAGAAAATATGTGATTTTCTTTACGCGGGACTCATGCACCTTGTAGACTGAAATCACTAAGCGCTAATGCAACGAATGATCAGGCCTCAAATTATTCGGGAATTAGAAGACTTTTTAAAAGCTTAATTATACTCCCCCTTGAGTATAAAGTATAAAGAAGACGTAATTCTCTATTAGATGAATGAAAGAAAGCATATTCTTGTCTATGGCTTCTATAAGATATCTTTGAATTTGCAAGACCATCGAAAATCAATGGGAAAAATGTCTGCTAATCAAGTAGTCATTTTTTACCGAGTGCGGTTTCTACAGGAGATTGAAAAGCAGTGTATTCAGAAGCTGACATTCTGCCAAATCCGAAATGTTATAAGATTATGTCGCAAGATACTTAGTAGTAAAACAGCGACTACGTAATCCTTCCTAATCGAAAACGCTTTCCAGAATTTCAGCCAACATTTCACGAGATCGGTCACTCACTATAATGTGCTAAGTTATTGTGAGAATGGACTCCTCGTTACTGCTCCCTTTCTCACCCTTCCTTATCCCATGCGCCAGTCGATCGTCAAACAAGTGATGATGGGCTTCGACGAAGTGGCTGTCCAATAAACACACGCCACGAAGCCCGCTGACCCCTGATTATTGTCTCCAGCGCATCTGCGGCGCGGCCCGTTGGTCCAAACAGTCAAGGTCACACAAGCACGCTGTGGGCGAGGCACACGAGAAATGCACGTGCCTGGTTAAAAGCCAGAAATCGATACGGGAGGAGTTGAAGGCTGTAAGAGTAAACATGCTCTAGCATGGGCAGTGGTTTGTCAAGCAATCCTGGCGGCAGTAAGAACAAACATGCCGATCCTCCGGGTAACTGCACACGCAACAACCGCGTCGAAGATCCGCGGATTCCAGCCGAGGCGGCTAGAAACAGCTTCGCGTCGAACAAGCAGGATTGTGGTAAGAGGAAGCAAAATTCGTTTAGGCAGCAACGATCCCAGCAGGAAGTTTGTCCCATCAGCGAAATCGATAATGACGATCCAACACTGAATTCCTCGGACGTATCGCTGCATTCTCTGGACTCTGAACAGATCTTTTACGGTCAAGAACAGTACTGCAAATATGTGAACATGAACGCGTCCAATCACGAGGAGGGAGGACGATCATCTAGTTCGACAGGAAACAGCGGCAGACACCACAAGAGACCCACTCTACGCACAGTGACGGCATGCACTGCATCCACGTCCCAGGGTAAAAGAATTTCGGTTTACCATTCCGTCGCGGTGACTCGTGGACGTACTGTCCCTCCTGCTTCCAGCATTCGTCAGGCCTTTCATAGACCGCCGGATCCTCTTGCTGTGTTTCAACGGGATTTACTTGATCCCTATGAGCCGCACCCCCATCCCACCCTACAAACACAACTGACGGAGACCCCGACGACCTTGATACCCCTGGAGGGCCAAAATTCCCATCCACAGCACACCACTCCACTGTCAGGAGGGCACACAGACACCTGCCTCTTGAATTCCTCCCGAAGGCTGTACAATGACGACCAGGGTGGTAAAACTGCAAGTCAGCCGGAACAGCTACAATCAGATTATCAGAAGCGTGTCAGCTCGCCTGGTTTAGACAGGCGCCCGACGAATGCGTACAATAGGAACGGCGAACAATACAGGAGTTCATCGACGATTAGTCAGAACCCGCCCTTGCGATGCACCGCTTCATCTCCGTTGCCTGGGCAACATTCGCAGACTGTTGTGGTCTCGGGGACTTCTATGGCAGCGCACGAAGTCAATCGACCAACGACGCAACACCCACTAGGCCAACTACAGGCGGGAGGAGGAGGAGTAGAAGAAAAGTCGGTCGCATGCATGGTCTCTCGGCCCCAGATAATGACGGGTAGCCTGCACTCTCGCCAACCCCGATCTGCAGTGCAGGTAGCCTCCGCAGCCACTGGGCTGACGGGATATCCACTTGAGACCCTCCCAGACGGCTCAAAACTAAAATACTCACATTCGATCTTGCCGACGAGCGAGATGCAGAACACGATCGATCTTCCAGCCGAAACCTACACACAGCAGCAGCAACAGGACCTGCTAATTCAGAAGTTGCATCAGGCCGGAAGGAAACTGGCAATCTCGATTTCACGGCATCAGGGCCTTCCCGCAGGGGGAGGCTGGCAAAATGGAGGAGAGAATAGCCCAGTCTACGACCCTCAGGGCCTACGTCTCCAAGAGCAACCAGGTCGAAGTAGCCCCCTTTCCCTTCAGTCTCATACCGTCGTCAATGGTAGTCACCCTCTCGTTCAGAACGCCCTCCTCACCGAAAAGTCGTCCGCTCCCCAGGCGTCCCCGGCGTCTTTGAATGCGACGACTGATAGGCCTGAATTAGGCGGTCGACAGGCGATCAGCGACTCCCAGCAAAAGGTTATTGTGTTCACCAGGCCTCAGAGAGCCAGGCGTTCCCTAGCTATGACTCAGCCAGTACAAACAGCTGTACCCAGCCAGCCACTCAAACAGGTTGGTCGAATAGAAAATTCTCTCGAACACGAGGCCGTTGAGAGAAGCACAGAGGAGGGGTCGGAACCGGTATACGAAAATGCCGGTCTCTGGTCACCAAGACAACACTCTGGCCTGGAAAGACAACTTCCCCTTGATTCCAAAGGAGGACAAACGCCAAGAAGCCCTAGAAGTACGCACTCACACCCCCATGTTGAACACGGAAGTTACGGGGAACTTTATCCTGCGACGTCCGGCAGGACGGATCTCAGTCCTCGGCTACCTGCAGTCTCTGCGCCTCAACTTCTCTCCCAGTTTGCCTCAACTGCTGGTTCGGGCCTAGAAACCAGTCAGCCCCATAACCTGAAAGGAGGAAATCCACCGGGCAACGAACCAGTGCAGGTTGGTCAACCCCCAGATCGGGGTGTTTCATCACATCGGCAGTATGCTACATCCGGAGTAGATCCTGGTACCGTGTCAAGGACAGCAGACAGCCAGAAAACTCGTCAAGCCGGAATGGCACAGGACTCACGGGGACAGTATGCCATACAGGCGCAGAGGCAGGTTCAGTTTCCAAATGCACAGGTTGCGGGCAGAACGGTGGCCTCTGGCGTGCCAACTCAACGAGCCGCCCTGAATCAGCCACTGAACCAAGCCAGCCAACGGCAGAACGATATTGATGAGGGGCTCAGCGTTACTGTCGACACAGCCGTGGACGACCAGAGCACCGCGCCGGGTGAGACAGAGGATGGAGAGGTGTCTCCACGACATCGCCGTGCTCCCACCTTTCCGGGTGCTCAATTGGCCCGCACTTCAACGGCTCCCCCAGTGCAGACTGAGCATGCGATGCTAGACCAACCGCCGCTCAACCGGGTTGTCCAGCGTGAGGGCGGAGTTCAACAGGAGGCCATTGAGACATTCAGACAGGATGATATGGATCTTCAGTACCATGCCTCCTATTCAAACAGTCCCGACTACGCGGACGACAACGATGACCGAGTCTTTCCAGAGGCATCTGCTAGCCCCAGGGCAGCTCAAAGACAGCGACAACAACAGGGCCCTGACCAGCCCAATGGGCAAATTTGCAATGTTGAAGATGATATGGAGGACATGGAGACGGTTGATGAGGACGACACCAGTAGGGCCAACCACACAGTTCTTGTTCGCCTCGAGTCCTATGACGAACTGCCCAGCGAGGTGAGTCAGCGCGTGCAAGCCAAGAGACTCTGGGGGGTCGACTCGAAGGTGCAGAGGGACACTCATCAGGAGGGCGTTAGCGATCAGCTTTTGAACGAAATTTCTAAAATATCAACTATACCGGAGGACACCGAAGGCAGAGATGTCTACTACACGCCCAGCGCTCGTCAGTTAGAGAGGCACCTCGCCACCAGAGAAGTCCTACACAGAGCCAGCTATGAAAAGGAAGTCATTGCTGAGCGGGCCCAGGTTAGTCAAGTTCCTCTGCTTCCCATGGCTGCCAAGAGCAAGCGCGAGGACGTTTACAAAGCCACCGCAGTTAACCAATCACCTGCCTTTGGTGCACCCTTTGCAAAGAGCAGAACAGATACTAATCACCTACAGGAGCCTTCCAGACAGATGAGGAAACAGATGAGGAGTCACCACGGTGACATCATGAGTAGTTACGCAGCTAGGCAGGTAATCGATCCCAAAGATCCCATGAACTCGCTCTCATCGGGAGGAGCCTGGACCGCTGGTCGAAGGGCCAGGTCTTGCAATCCAGAAGACGCTTGCAGCCTCAATCCCCGCCTATTTTATGCTAGCTCGCAAAGCCTGACACAGGATCCTCGCAGTCTGCGGGAACTCCAGCGCCAGACGAACAACTTTAGTCCTCTTCGCGGCATGTTTAAACACTCCTCGGAGCCAAACTCCTGCATGGAGACCTGTCCTCGGAGGAGACGCCAGAAGAGGCGTTGCAGCAGACGACGGGCTGCATCGACCGACGGTGACAGACCTCGGACCGAGGGGCTAAAACGTCGGAAGTGGCTGCGTCTCTTTGGTGTGCAGAAAGTAGGCCGTCCTCTGGACGTGTCAATGAAGTTGTATCCCGCTGTCATCTCCTCTGACGGCATTGCCTACAAGTTGGAGGGTCCGGCGTCGGAACACGTATACCATAGCCCAGAACCACGACTGTGTGATCGCAAGCGCTACATCCAGCCCTGTGCCTACCGTCCCGAGGACATTCGTCACACCGTCTACGTCTTCGAGACTGCGGTGCTGCACCAGCCGCTGGTATTCCAGGGTTCCATCTCTAGGACAGAACTAATTCGGCCCCCGTTTGAGGGGCCTTATCATGGCGGTCCGCGAGGGGGCGGTGGCGGTGCCGGTGGAGGTAATCCTCCTCACCCGAGCGCCGGTCCTAGCAACGCACCAACTCGAAATGTCAAATTCCTGCCGATTGATCAGGACAGTCGAACAGCTTCACAGGCCAGTACTGCGCTGTTAGAGACACGCTCAGGTGAATCCGTGAATAACCTCCTGATTAAGAACAATATGCAGCAGAGCATTCAAAGTGTAATTCCGGGTCTGCCACCGACGGCCATCGACAAGGCCTTCAGGGATGTTGATCCAAATCAATCATTGGCTGGCTTTATGGTGTACTCTACGGCGGGCAACGGGCAGGTTGCACCATACGATCCCAAAAATCCCCAGTGTTGCGCTCTAGTGCCACTCTACCTATCAAAACCGTCAAACAGAAATGCGGGCAACAGTATCGAGATCCATCAATATAAGACAGCGTTCAGTCCATCGATTCTTTCCAGCATCAGTGAAGACAGCGTTGCCACGCAACCAGAGACTTGTGGAAAATTGAATCCGGAGGAGGCTGTTGAAGATGATTAGGCCGCTAATCTGCCGGGAGAAAAGGAAGTGGACACTCGTCGAGTACCTTCAAAAGGAAGGAATCTGTAACCACCATTGATGCAGGCCTGTGTGTAGGGCGGAGAAAATCTCACCAAAAGTGCCCGCATTCGCTCATCTTGTCCATTTGGTATTGCAAATGAATACAAGAACGCAATACACTGTTGGTCTGAAAACACTGAACCACCACCCGTGCGACTGAGAAGGGGTTACGTGTTTCTCCTTGGTTTCTTTTACTGAAGGGGTTGGATGTTTAGTTTTTAAGAATCACCAGCCTGAGAAAGGTAGCCGATAGTTTGAGAATCGCGGGTGACGATGGACACAGTAGCCGCACGAAGTGGGCACGGTGACGACTAGTGCGGGGCATCCTCCTCATTATCTCAGCCCAACGCCCTCCGTACTTCGACAGGGAAAGGGCGCAGGTAAAGTGGTCGACGAAACTACATGGTCCGTCTACGCGTGCCACGCGCGAGCGCTGCAGTATCAGGCTACATTTAAGGGGACCCAAACTTCACATAAACATGAATGTCATAGAGGTTAAACTGAAAAGTGGCTATTGCACCCCGGCCCTGATTTACTGAGTAGAAGCGAGTTAGCCCGCAAGTTGACAACCATCCAAACCACGAGTTGTAGCGCGTCATGATAGCTCCAAGCGCTAAAAGTGGGAAAAAATGGGGAACGTCCGGATTTGCCATCACTATGGATTCCTCAACATCGACATCGTTCTTTCTCTCTCTTTCCTCTTTCACTAACCACTTGATTGTACGAACCAGCCAGTCATCTGATAATGAGATTAGGCAGGCTGGCGTGACGTAAAGGCTTCCGTCTACGTAGACGCGGCGCAGCACGACAGACGCGCGCCGTGAGCAAGTCTGACTCTTGTTCTGTTCTATCGCACGACTAATAAGCACCTGCACCCTAGAAATAAGGTCAAGAAACGAGTGTTGCAGGGCATAGGACTACGGACTGGCTGAAAGTCTTTCCGTATCCTCAGTGGGTCATCGAACAGGGCAGTCCAGTCGAACCGACACATGTCAGATATGATCCAGCTCAACAGAAAATGACGGTTCTTGGCTGCTGGCAACTATTTTGCTTATTGAAGCTGGGCCAGGTCAATTAGGGAAGTTAACGCGGTACATTTTGGATCGGATGCTGAACACCTCCTTGCACTTCTTAGTGCTGGAGTTCTAGCAAAGGCTAGCGAGGTGAGTTCTGGCGCAAGTTCATGTCTCGCCTCACACATAGACTAATGTTCCGTTTTACTAAAACGCAGGCCAAAGCATCTTTGAGATAAATGGCATCTTTCTGTCTCTCGAAACTGCTCACCCATGAAGCGACAGTTAGAGGGTCTATGCCGACTTGCCGACCGCTCCTATCTCAATGAACGAGTCATATTCAGACTCACTTGTGACCACACTTTCTCTTAATTTAGGCTTATCTGTAGATAGCTCGACGTTAGTCGGTCTTGGGGAATCTCAGATCAACAGCAGACCCCATGTACCCGCGTTCCTACACAACTCGTGGAATAGCTCTTCTTCTTCGAAGAATTCTCACCGTCGGCCGCCCCTCAGCCATATCCACAAATCTAGGACGCTCACACCTATTCCGCGGCGGCTGAGACTTGTTCAGCAATTATTGCATCTAAGCATAAAGTTTCTGTCAAGAATCTAGCAGAACTCTTCCAACCCTCTTACTGGAATCCCAGCTTGACTCTCCCTCTCCGGTAATTGGACTCACCCGATCGGCAGTGTCTTCGCAGCTGAAATACACTGTCGTATCCCACTTCAGGTTTCCCTGTTTAACTCTGGTTATTTTTAAACATCACTCAACTCTCTGCACCCAACCCCCCGGGATCCAACGTCGCGAGAGCTTTTACACAACCCAAAAGCCCGATATTCTCTCATGAGTTCAGGCGATAACGATGAATTTGAAGAAGGAGACACGATCGCTGGGACAAGAGTTTTATTAGTCCAAGGTTTCGGATTCCTGCTCGAACCCATCGTCAGAGACAAAAGCAGATACGGGTGGTTCATGCATAAGGGGCTGCAGTATTTATAGGATGCAGTCGTCATGCTACCGCATGCCTATGAATATTCACGGCTCCTCCCCCCCTCCATCAGGTATCGTTGTACTTGGTGTGCTGACTGTTTGATGGTCCACATTCGCGTCGTTAATTGCTGCAATTTCACCACGTGCGTTGGATGTTGGTGTGATGATTGCTCGACCATCTGACGCACTGACCCTGGTGTTGAGAAAAGTGTTCACCTGTGCGCTTCTCGCGTGGCCAATCACTCCGCATAGGCGAAGTCCCAGCTTCTTAAAGACATTGAAACATATATGATTCTCCTTACGCGAAAAGCATACGCCTTGTATACTAAAATCGCTGAGTGCTAATGCAATGGCTGATCAAGCTCAACATTATTCGGGAATTGGGAAGCTTTTTCAAAACTTGAATATACACTAAAATCGCTAAGTGCTTATGCAACGGTTGATCAGGCTCAAAATTATTCGGGATATGGGAAACTTTTTCAACGCTTTCTTCAGGTATAAAATGGGAAGAGAATGCGATTTTCTGCCCAACGAGTAAAAGAAAGCATATTTTGTGCATGTTTTCTATAAGATATGTCCGAATTTGTAAGACCATCGAAAATCATGGCGAAAAATACATGCTAATTAAGTAGCCATTTTCTACCGAGCGTCGTTTCTGCAGGGGGTCGAAAAGATGTGCATTCAAAAGCCGACATTCTGGCGAGTCGGAAATATTATAAGATTATGCCACAAGAGCACATTATTAATCCTTCCTAATCGAAAACACATTGCGGAATTTCGACCAACATTTCATGAGATCGGTCACGCACTGTATGAAATTAATTAAACACCATGTATTGGCCTTCTTACTGTCGAAAAGGACGCACAAGTTCAAGGTCTGTGAGCTAGTTGCATTCTTTTTGGTCATTTTTTCGATGTTCCTAGCCTTAAATATATGCTGAACAGATTCCGCTTTCTCGCCAGACAGCACAGAAAAAATAATGAAAAAGCGCGCGTTGCTCGACCTCAGGTCTGCCGTATATTTTGAGGCAGATATTCCAACGCATTTACGTGGCGGAAGGGTTAATCCCAATTTCATTGTTATCGCCTGAACTCGGGAGAGAATATCGGGTTATGGATGAAGGACATCCGGTAGATGTCTTATAATTTGATTTCAGCAAGGCGTTTGATCGCGTCCCACAGAAGCGCCACTTTCAAATGTTGTCAGGAGTAGGGATAAGAGGAAATCTTCTGAACTGTATTCAAGATTTCCTAAACGGTCGTAGACAAAAATTCACTGTGAGTGGCCACTGCTCACAATGGGCATCTGTTACAAGTGGAGCCCCACAGGGGTCAGTTCTTGGGCCGCTCCTATTCATTATCTATGTAAATGACCTATTACGGGAATTGAAATCGGACATAGCGCTCTTTGCAGACGATCGTAAACTTTGGAGAGCGATAAAAGGTGAAGATGACGTCAAGATACTACAAGAGGACGCAGAGAATTTGCACACGTGGAGAGAGGAATGCTGCATGAAATTCAACGTCAAAAAATGTGCAGTAATGCACGTAGTATCAGCTAGACGAAGAACAACTGCACCCTCACGACAGTATCTCCTGGGCAATCAACCACTTTAAACCGTAGATGCGCAAAAAGAGCTCGGTGTATTCATTAAAGATAATCTAAGCGTCACCACGCAGTGTTCGAAAGTCGTAGCACGGGCAACGCCAGCCATGAGCGCTATACGCAGAACGTTTATTCACTTGAATACAGATGTCTTTGGCAAAGTATACGGGACATTTGTGCGGCCGCACCTGGAATATGCGGTATAGGCTTGGCGGCCGTGGCTTCGGAAGGATATAGATATCCTTAAAGGTGTACAGCGACGTGCTATAAAGGCTGTTCATGGCCTAAAAAATTATACATACGAGCAGCGCCTGACGGCCTTGAAGTTCTATCCCCTCCACTACAGGCAGGACAGAGGTGACCTCATATCAACGTTCCAGGTGCTAAGAGTACTTAATCTGGATGTCTAATGGGAAACGTTTTTTTGAAATGGCACCCAAGTCTAATCTCAGACGTCATGATTACCAGTTTAAAAGGAAACTGTTCCTCCTTTTTCTCACAGAGGGTCATTCGCCAATGGAACTCTTTGCCGGAGTATATATTTAATTCCCCTACCGTGAGTGTGTTCAAGAGACAACTGGATACTCACCTGCTGAAAGGCAACCCGAACTGCCGAGGTGTGATCTAACGGATTACTAAAATGACTATAAATATAGTACTAACATGATTTCAACAGATCCTTTTTTGTGCGCCAAACTTGACCCACATGGAATGCAGTGAACAAAGTTTTTCGCAATTATTTCGTGAATGCCATACCCCATTCGCATTTGTGTTTTATTATTAGATTTATGAATTCTCCTTACTAAAACTGCAAGCAAAATTTTTGCAATTTAACTATTTTCCCTTGTAGCTGTACCGTCAGAATGGAGTTTTCAGGGCTTCTGTCGTTTGCTCCAAATATACTGACTGAAATTCGTCGCACATTACTCACTATAAACAATAGGACGCAAGTTTAAACTATCACGGTGACCTGAAGGCCGCGGATTGGATGACTGCCAACTAACGACATTACTCAGTCCTCCCATCACGACGAAGAGTCATTCTGCAATAGTTCCTTCTTATTGCAGTCCCCATGGCTTTTTCAGTCAAATGGGATCCAAGTCGTCTCTTGGCTTGTTTCTGTGAAAACCTCGTCCAGCGGGCGGGAGGCAGGCGTATGCAGTGTGTTCAGGCGGGCTGTTTGGCTTCGCCAGTCACTCTATCGGATGCCGCCTCCGGGCTTCCCGACCCTGTCTTGAAAGGGTAGGGGAAGTGAGGTAGATGCATCGCAAGTCCACTATCACCATAAGCCAAATCATGCCCTGCGTCAACATTGTTATAGGACACG